TTAATTTCTTTCTATTTTTAGTAGAGACGGGGGGTCTCGCTCTTGCTCAGGCTGGTTTCGAACTCCTGAGCTCAAACGATCCGCCCACCTCGGCCTCCCAGAGAGCTAGGATTACAGGCATGAGCCACCGCACTCGGCCCAAAAGTGTCTTTTAATTTGGCTTTTATCCTGTAAAATGTTTGTCATCATCACTTACCTTATACATGAAACTGACTAATAAGAATGTATCTTTTGTACATGAGCTTACTGAAATATTTCCATTAATAATCCATCTACTAGTTACACACTTCCATAAGGTAGGTTAAAAAGACAATTTCCCCAATTTTAAAACTACTCCATTAAAATCCATTTACCTTTTATCTCGGTGTCCGAAGACAAAGCATAGCCAAATGCTGTGTATATAAGAAAGATACATAGGCATCTGATATCCAAACAATTGAAAGCCATTTCTCCAGTATTTAATACCTTGATATGTCCTATCTATGAAGGAAAAATATAACACTTTAACTTCATCTTACATCAAATAATCAAACTAAATGCAATTTTAAACACTTTTAAGAGTTCTCTGTGTGTTTTCTATCAAGAGTTGGGAAAACCGTAGCCCCTTGGACCACAGAAATAGAATTCATCAAGTTAGGAACCAATATAATTAGAAAGAAAGGATTCTAGTCTCATCCTTCTTACAAAAGTAAAACCAAAGCAAAACAAAAACCCTTTAACTCCGCCACAGTCCCCATCATACACACACTTTCCTACACGCTATGACCAGGTTGTGGTGACTTCAACTTATGAACACTGAGTCAGACCCACCAGAGTGTTCTTATTGGCGCACAGGGGGAGTTATGACATCATTAGTCTCCATAGCAATTCTCTCCCCTGGCAACAAAGAAAACACAACAAATACTCTTTTCTGAGAAAAAAGTATTTTAAAGTTATTTGACTACTGAGAAAACTCAAAACCTACATCAAAGCCTGAGATAGCTCAGAATTTTGTTCCATTTTTGATAAATATTAAATCATCATCTTCTACTCTCATTTCTGTTCCACTTTTCCTGTGTTTCCTGTATTAGTAAACGGCATCATCATCCTCCCAGTTGCCCAAACCAGAAACCTGAGAGTCTTTCTTAACTCCTCCCTCTCCCATCCAATCTCTCCATTAACACCACCACTCCCTAAATTGAAGATCTTATCATCAGAGATCTCCTTATCCAGTCTTTCCTGCCTCTGATCCATTTTCCACACCACATATAGCAACAGGGACCTTTCTAAAATGCAAATATGAGCTTCTCACCTCTTTCTTAAGACTATAACAACATTTTACTCCTACAAAATACAATTTAATCATTTTTAATTCTTAAAGAATATTGGTCTTACGATCAAAATTGAAAGGATTCATGCCTCCACATACTTACTCAATCAAAAAACACTTCACTTTTAAAGAAAAACCACTATTCCCAGTTCCACACACTTCTCTTCAAATCTATATTCTGGAACCAACAATTTCCCAGAAAGTTAAGGATTTAAGGTCACTTATCCCAACATTCAGGGCTGCCTTTCTTTTCTTCTGCATAGATTAATTCATGAGGACAGATCCTCTCTCCCCAGCCTACCTCCTTCATCCTACCTGGTCCATCTGTAATGTTCTAATGCTGGTAAGCTTCAATTATTACATAATAGAATCTTGAAATAGAATTTTTGGAGCCAGCATGTATATTGGAGACCATGCTAGTCAAATTTTCCTTTATATATTGGGAAGTAAAACTCAGACTTGCCCAAGATTACACAGCAAGTTAGTAACAGAGCTGGAAGTAGGACAGAGATCTCACAATTCCCAGTCCTGCACACTTCCCCCCTACTATGCTGGGTTCACCACGCGTGACCCAGGATTATAAAAGCTTTTCCTGTGGGACCCAAGTGTTTAAGTCTTTCTTCAATTAGCTAACCAAGCTCAATCAACACCAGGCTATTTTGTAAATTCTATGCCTCATTTTTATGACTTTTCATAAGAGGATGCCATTTCTCTTACTAAGGTCCAACAAATTTCTCTTTCTCCTCAATTCTTCCTTCTTTACTCACCAGCCCATGGCTGCCCACTAACACATCTGTAAGTACTAGATAGATTTAGTCACCAGAAGATTAAGATCTTCCATAGAGCTACTCTCATAGATTAAGATGAATACACTGGTTACTGTTGGGCTCAAGGCAATAGATCTGACAAAGAGAAATCCTTCCAATTTACCTATAAGGACTAAGGCTTCCCTTAAAATGCTCTCGGATAAACTCTAAGTTCTCTCTTCCTTATCAATGTGTTCATTAAAATTTTATAGCCCTGTGTTATGTACAACATAAATGCTAAGTAAAGAGTTAAAAATCATTTGCTTCTATTCCATTTATAGGCTACTGAAATCTGACTCAGGCTATCAAATAGCATTTTGTGAATCAGCCCAACACATCTAAGCAAAGGTAGGAAATGGGAAGCTAGCTTTTAGAATCACTTATGGGTAAATCCACAAAGGGAGTTCCTGAATCATACCTAGAGTCCATCCTAGACTGTCTTACCCAAATGTACATGAATATAATTCTTTCCTCAGCTTCTGGGTAACAGGATTGTCACTAGTGCAATGAGGGGCTTTATATAGTATATGGTTACCAGAAACACCTGAGTTTTTTGTGAGGAGGAGGGGGACCTGAAGACAAAGGGAAGATTGGAGTAGGAAATGCAGACATACAAGATTTGAAAACGTTTCTGATACACTCCACACCCCCAGACCACGGTTAACAACCACTTATCTGGTCTTAGCTCCTTATTTTTAAAAATGAGGAAATAACAGCCAACGAGGAAGATAAGTTGTCCAAACTAACACAACTTATTGGTGACAAAGCTAGGACTGAAAAACAGGTCTCTTGAACCCTTTCCACTAACTAACAAATTTTCTTGTCATAAGGAGTCTTTTCTGCACCTCCTTCCCCTCAACTTTCCTCAACCTATTGTCACCACCCAAACCATCAAACCCACCACAAAGTTTTATCATCATGACATTTCTGGCAGAGTAATAATTCAATAAACATTAAGTGAGCATCTTTTTCTTGGCCAGATAATATTCCAGCTAAATCTTGTGTAAGATAAAAGGTGCAAGTGGCAACAGTCATAGTATCTATTATAATAATAAAAGCTTCTACCATTTATTCAGCATACACAGCAACCCAAGCACTGCCCTGTGCTAAGCACTTTACATGCATTATCTCATATAATCCTCACAGTCAACTTTGTATGTATATACTATTTTTAGTCTCATTTTATTTTTAAAATTTTCTTTTAAAATTTACTTTAATTTTTAATCAATGCATAATAATTTTACATATTTATGGGCTACTGTGCGATATTTTCATACATGGACACATTATATAATGATCAAATCAGGGTAATTAGCATATCTATCATCTCAAACATTTTTCAGTTCTTTGTGGTAACAATATTCAAATTCCTCTCTTCTAGCTTTTTTTGAAATATACATTAGCTACAGTCACCCTACTGTGCAAGAGAACACCAAAACTTACTCCTCCTAACTGTAACTTTGTACCCACTGACCAACCTCTCACCATCCCCCCTCTCTTCTACCCTCCCCAGTCTTTGGTAACCTCTATTCTGCTCTCTACTTCTATGAGACCAACTTTTTAAACACTAAAAGCTGAGACATAGAGAAATTAAACAATTACCTTCAAGTCACAAAGGCCATAAATGGTGAAGCTTGTATTTGAATCTAGACAATCTAGTACTAGAGCCTTCCATGGCAAGCCCTATAGGAGACATTTTCCACGCCTGATGTCAATATGGGGGGCAGCTTCCTGTTTCTACCCAAACAGTTTCACACAACACTATTGCTGAGACAGTTTCCCACTCAGAATCTTCTTGGGAATGCCAAACATAAAGCAATTTCCTTTTTCAACCTCACTTCTTCACCTCTTTAAAATCATGCAACATAATACCCTCAATCCAAGAATTGGCTGCAATCCTTGCATTTTTGGAGAAATTCCAGGTACTTACCAAAAACATGGTTTCTCAAGAAATGGATTAACATGGACAGTTATCACAGGCCCTATTTTTTTTCTCCTCTCCACTTTAGAAACATTAGTTAGAATCTCTAATACTTTCCTTCCTGTCTGATAATCAAGCATACCAAAAAAATTAAATAGGTGTTCCTAAAACAGCCAGAGGGCCAGGACATAGATTCTATAAGTCACGAGATAAGTGAGGTTATGGGTGGGTCCAAAAGCCATCTAAAGTAAATTTAGAGTTACAACAAGGTATGGCAAAAGCTGACAGGACTAATTTATTCTTTAGATAAAGTAACAGATATATAGATGAAGAGTTTGTTATAATAAAAGGCTCAATGGTATAAATATCAATCAGGGTTTCACTTCTGCCTCAAGCACTGTGTTTAGAGGCAAATTATATCTCAATTTGCATCTAGAAAATGGAGGTAATGATGCAAGCCTGGCAGGGGTGCCTTGGGGATTAAATGAGATAATGTATGTGAAAGTACTATATGAATAGTAAATTACTCTATACACTTGAGAGGGGTTTGCTTCTGAGGACCTTGCAATTAAGCAACACTTGAATATAACTTACCTTAACCCACACATTTGCCCCTACTAATTCAACAAAATAGAACAGTCCATAGTTGATAAGTAGGCACTTATTATTAATTTCCAATTTCCATCACCTTTGTTGATTCATTATACTGCCTTTACTCATCTTTGTCTTAAACAATAATTTCTTTCATTTGTTTAGCTTTTTATAGTTTATAAATAATTTGTTGAATTTTTAAAATAAATCTATAAGTCTATAAGGTTGGTATTACATATTTACAAGCAGTAAAACTGGTGCTTAGAGGTGATGTGAGTAGCACAAGTTCCCCTAGCTGATACAATCCATACCGAAAGGAAAGGAAAAAGAAGCAAGAGACAGAAAAACATTACAAGGCTAATAATGAATAATATGGTTTTTTTGAAACATTCCTTCTCTATGTTGGCAAAAAAAAAAAAAAAAGTTCTTCCAAAGTATTTGAAATGACCATAGGTTTTTGGTTTTATTTGATTTGCAAAGGCAGTGACTAATTTTCTAAGACAAATAATTATTTATTAGAAAATGATGAATGGGATTTTGCAATGTAATTAAAGTGGCTTCTAAAAAAAGCCACATTAAAAAAACAATGGACATGTAATTTCTGTTGCCTTTAGGTTAAAAAAAAGTTATAAAATGTGATACTTTCCATTCACATTGTTTAAGGTATTAAAAATATCATCCAAAGCATGTAGAACAGGGATTGGGAGAAAGAGAAAGGAAAAATAGAGAAGTAGAACCTGAGAAGAGAAAATAGAAAAGTGGACTTAAATGTTGTTTACAAGTGAAATGATAAATTGATATGGTCTTACATGAGAAGGAATTGACTAGGAGACCTGGGCTAAAAGACCTGGTA